ACCGATTAGAACCCGCTCGTACCCGTTCCTACGTTTTTCTACGTCCTTGTCCTGCTTTTCTCGCACCTGCTCTCACTGAACAGCTCGACGTGGAAGGTACATCCCTTCAAATTGGTCAATCGAACGAGGGGTTGCGATTTTTTTCAGGGGAGATACAGGCGTTTGAAGCGATTTTCGAGAGGGTCCATGACGCTTTCAGCCCGTTTTCGGGTTGCTCTGTCCCAGGTGAATTTTTTTCCCACCTGCGATCTCTTCAGCCCGACGAGGAAGGTTCATCCCTTCAAATTGATGCTTGTCGCGAGGGGCTACAATTTTTTTTAAGGGGAGTTTCAAGCGATTTTCGAGGGGATCCATGGCGCTTTCAGCCCGTTTTCGGGCTGCCCTGTACCCGATGAATTTTTTTCCCACCTGCAATCACTTCGGCCCGACGGGGAGGCTCTTCCCTTCAAATTGGTCTATCGAACCCGCTCGTACTCGCTTTATACACTAGGAAGCCATTCATGACCGCCAGTGTACGCATACGAGGGTGGGAGGGGTCAGATCCGCGATCGCGCGGATCTTCCGCGGAAGTACTTTCGCTTCAATTTCAATTTCCCGTCTGGAGGTCGTAACTCACTCGGAGCAGCCGGCAAGGTCTCGGAAGACTCCTCATCGAAACCGTCGATTTTACCGGGAAACTTTGGGCGATCGATCTCCTCGGGATCGATCGGAAGCTCCTGGACCGCGACTCGCTCCTTCGGGATGCTGCAGAGCCCCCTAACCGGAGCCATGGGGAATGTCCTTTCGCGAACGGCCAGTGATCTTTTCCGATTCCCAACGGTTACCTCTTCCTGGAGCTTTGTCCTCGTCTGAAACGATGGTCTTTTTCCCACGGAAGCGAGGAGCTTGCGAGGTTTGCGAGCGGTGCTCCAGGAGACGCTTCACGTCGAAGATGATCAATCGCCCGGTGGACCCGTGATTGGAACGGGTCCAGAATATTTTTCCTGGGCGATATCGATCCCTAAACGGCTGGAACGTCGACGGTTGAAGGTTGAAAGTTGAATTAATGCCATCGGCATATTTTTCCCGGAGCTTCCCTCGGAGGGAAAACTCCCTCTTCTCTGGCGAGGACGACCCGAAGTGTAAGATCCTCGTTGCGGGATATTCTCCAGAAGTTACGTTTCTCCTGACATATCCGTCGTAACCAGATTGTAAAATCCAATATTTAGCAAAACGTCTGGTCGTTTTATAAAATCCGGCCAGACGGTAAAATTCTTCGTTCACTTTTCTTTACTTTTACAATGTGGATACAATTTATCGACAAGCTCTTCCGCCTCTAACTTTGTATCCGTCGTTAGTCCTTGTAAGGAATGACGGAATTTCCAGAGAGTCTTCGAGGATCTTCCGGGGCCAGGGCTTGCAGGGAGGGAGGGGGTTTCCACTTCTGTGGATAATAAATATGTATGTCGCCGAGGAGCATTAGCGGGAAGTAACTCTTCTCTTAAGGGATGCAAAAACTTGGGCGACGCGAAACCGCGAGACCTACGCGGAAAAGTATTGCGGCCCCTCCGTCCGTCCGCTTTCCGTCTCGGAAGGGTTGCGTGCCAAGACCTACACCTCGGGGCGAAACTTCCCCCGAGGTGCTCGGCGAAAGTGCATGCTGATTTCTCCAGGAAAAAATATTCCCCATTATAAACGCTCCTCTGATAAAGGGCTGTCCCGATTCACCCAAGAGACTGATTAAAGAGGCGAGATTATCGGCCGGGGTTGAAAATTCAAACGTTGAGGCGGTAGTTTGTTCTAATCTCAGAGAAGGGTGATAAAAAGAATCTTCGAGATAATAAACACCCCTTCAGTTGTATTTACCGGAATTATTTTCAAAAAAGAATTAGAACAAGCCGACAAACCGCGCGATTGAGAATTTATTCGCTCTGGCGATAATTCCTGATTATCCAAGAATAGTGGAGGTTAACTTGGCACGATGCAGGAAAATCTTCGAGATAATAAACGTCCCTCGGACGGAAAAATATCCCTGATTTACCTGCAGGGCTGATTAAAAGGAATTTTCAGTCGCGGTTAAAAACCCTGACTTTCGGGCGACAAAACTTCGAAATAATAAACGCTTCTCGAGTAAGATACGTCCGATGTACCTTGAGGTCTCGTTAAAGCAAATTTTCGATAATATTAAATACTCAGAATTCCGGGGGATAATTCGTCATCATTCCCCGCAAATAAGGGTCGCCTGGAAATGCATGCACTTCGATACGGCCTTAATGAAGAGTCCTCGAGGGGTGGAAGACGGCGGACAAAAGACGAGACTGAAAGATTCCAGGAGGAGTGCTAAGGGCGCGTTCCCGTTTCCCGGTGGTTTGCAGATTTCCTCTTGAAATATTCCCCCAGGACGGGGGCGAAACGCCCCCCGCCCCAGCTTTACTTTTTCCTCCCTCGGTGCATCTTCCAAAGAGACACCGACGTGCCGGGATCGATGGTCGCGAGATGTAAGAAGCAATAATATTTATTCTGCATATCATTTCGCGGCAGGGTGCAGCTTGTCCTTAATTGGATGCCCCCCTGTCCCCGGGAACCCCCTTTGCGCCTGGGCTGCAGAAAACGCCTCCACCCCCGCGATATTCCCAGCCTGGTCATCTTTCATTCCTGCACTCATGTATATACAATTATTTAGATGAACGAGAAGGAATATCGGGAAGAATCTGTTCCGACCGGAAGGTGCGAGTCCCTCGGGAATCCCTCCTGCACCCCTGGCTTGTACTCGGAAATTCTTCCTCCAAAATTCCCTGCAAACTCCGCGGCTTATCGGCGACAAAGTCGCCTCGAGGTTTGCCGTTTCACGAGTCTAGCAAGAAAACGGCGGTTTCTTATTTTTCGCGGCCCAGGCCACTACGGTCATCATTCAATCTCCTATTCATGCATACATGGATAGCAAACGAGGAGATGCGAGGGGACGATATGATTGAAAAATCTGCTCTGGGTCGCGCGAAGCTGCAAGTCCCCTTTGAAATTTATTCAAGGCTGCACACACAAAGGGGCCGAAGTTTCACGAGGACGAGTCCCTCTGGATCGTATCAATTGTTACATCGTTCTATTAGCATCGGCCCGGCTTTAGCGGGAAAAATGTCCCCACAAAAATGTCTCCTTTATTCGGGAGCCCTTTCACACGATCCATAAAACGTTGACTTCGAACCTTGGGACCGAGGAACTCTTTCAAAATTCACGAAAATCCTGAATCTACTGTAAAAACCTTGTTGCCTCAGCAAGTATCCATTTTTTAAGGGGATTTCAGGCCCGAAAAGTTTGACTTACTGGTCGATTTCTGGCATGATTGGACGCCTTCTCCTTGGAGAATTTTAAGGACATGAAGGAGGGCTTCGATATCGCGGCATAATTGAACTCGCTTGGTCGATTCGTTAGTTTAAGGTCCTACGAGTCCTTCGAAATCAAACATCGTCCTGGATCGCTGGGAGCTGTTGTGCATCGGTACGCGGAAATTGCCCCCGCGAGGACTCATCCTTCTGGAAGATTAATTTCCGGTTCCACAGGGGATCCTAGCAAGCTCCGATTCCGGTCGTCATCTTTGACAGTTACAGAGGGGCAAAGGAGAGAAAAGGAAGGCGAGTGCATCCTGATCCCGGTGCAGCGGGTGCAGGGATAGAAGGGAGCGATTAATGAAGCCGGCAAGGATCTTAACGATCGGCCGAGCTCCACGGCGAAATGCGGAAACGCGAAGAAAAATTCCCGAGAGATACGCGGGAAGCTGCGGAAAACGGATGCGGAAGTGCAGGAGACTTAATTATGGATCCTGGATGCTGCATCGGCGAGCCCGGCATGCCGATAACGTTCGTTCCCTGCAAAAGGAAAAATTACTCCGAAGTTGCCGCGGCAACCGAGGGCAACCCGACTTGCAGGGGAAATACGGCTCTGTAATTATTTCGTTACGTTTACACGAGATACTTCGTAAACGGAAAAAGTGGAAGCGCTAAGAGCCGTCTCTAATTAATCCGCAGGCGAGTTATCACTGATTATCCCTGTGACCTGCGCCAGTCTACAATTTTTAAAAAATCATGGGAGGGGATCCCTGGATTGAGAACTCCGATCGGGCCGGCGACTACATTCAGGGGGTTCGTTAATTAAATCACAGGCGAGTTATCGCTATCTATCAAAGTGACCTCCGCCGGACTGCAATTTTTAAAAAATCATGGGATGGGATCCTTGGATTGAGAACCCCGACCGGGTCGGTGACTACATTCAGGGGGTTCGTTAATTCCTAGACAGGGCCGCTCGAGAGCCGGTCTGCAATTTTTAAAAAATCATGGGATGGGATCCTTGGATTGAGAACCCCGACCGGGTCGGTGACTACATTCAGGGGGTTCGTTAATTCCTAGACAGGGCCGCTCGAGAGCCGCATTTAAACGCTCGCAAGCTTCGTGCCATTGTTGCGCTGGGGGTTTGAGTGGATTTGGTCATAAGACCATCCACCATTCGCCGGACAGGGACTCTCAACACGCGAATGCCTCACTTCAGGGAGCTAGAAATAAATCGCACCCCGAATCGGCTGAAGAACCTAGAAGCGAATGAATCCAATTTTTCCCCGCGTGCAAGTGTACTATTTCCGGGATGAGAGCTTTCGAAAATTTGGCAGGAAGACCCCATCATTTTCCAGACAGAGATTCCCAACCCATGAGTGCCTTACTTCAGGGAGCAAGAAATAAATCCTACCCCAAACCTGCCGATCACTTCTTCCCTCGTTCCTCAGCTTCGAACAAGCCCCAGCTTTAAAGCTCCTCCTCGTCACGCGAAAAATCCAGCTTTTCCCCGCGTGCAAGCGTATCATTTCCGACGCGAGGGCTTTCGAAAAAGGAAAGCCACTGACCCGTCGTTTAAAAGCTCCGAGCTCGTTTCGTTCTCACGACAAGCTGCCTTAATTATCAGATCCGCGCCTGCGCGCTCGGCTTCGCAAGCTCTTTCCTATTTAAGAAGGCTTAAAAAGCTCCGGTGTTACTCACGTCGTGGAACCAGAGGATGCTCGTCGGAGAAGGGTTGCTCTGGACATCGCAGACCAGCTTCAGGTCGTCGCCTTCCTGAAGAGTCTCGAAACTGTAACCAGTAGCCAGGTGAGTCGCCACGACAGGTGAGTCTGAAAAATAAGAAATCTTGATAAATTAATTCGATCCCCGATTTATAACCAAAAAGGTCCTACACGCACAGAAAGAGAATTCTACTCATTTACCAAAACCGTTCAATTGATTGCATTTGATTAATTTCAGAAAATGGAGTGAACTGAATCTCAGTTAATTATTATCCAGAGGATCGAATATTGTCCTTATAACAACCGCACTGAGAAAAGAATTTCATTGAGCTAAAGAAATATTAAGTTTAATAGTACCGAAGCAACCGCTTTATTAATCCGAGGAGTAATTATTTTATCGCAAACTGGAATAATTTGAATGCAACGTTTATTCATAATTATGACAATTTATTTCAGTCACATAATTATCCTTAGAATTAACAAAATATTTCTTTGGTACCACCCCAAAGAAATATTTCGGTTCGACGAATCGTTTCTCTCAGTAAGTGCGATTTTCTATGGTAAAACGAAGAAAAAAAAAATAACTGATCGAACAGAATATTCTCCTGCGTTCGTACATCGCAGGGAGCTCTTCAGGGTCCATAAGAGGAGACTCCTTCGGAAATGGGAATTCCTGAAGGAGGGTGGCGACATTTATTTCCACCGTTACCGTGATCCCGGTTTACATCGGGTGGTTCCCGGGCGTCCGATTCTAATTAACGGGGATCCTTATTAGGAACGCTCGGTTGACAACCACTGGGGCTCGTACGCAACCTCGGCAAAGTCGAAGGGGTTCGGTCGCAGGGAAAAAATTAATTGCTCGCGGGGCTACGGCACTCGTTAATTGAATTTGCGATTTCCAGCCGGCCAGCCCGAGTGCCCGGCATTCGGCTGCGTTTACGCGGCCCGCGGCCCGCGTTTACGGCCTTAATTAAAACGGTGTCATCCGACTTTTCCGGTTGACAAAGAGAGAAACCCGATGCGCCCCCGGGCGCGAACGGGCGCGTTTCCGCCGGCGATTTCCTCGGCCTCCCTCGTTTCCGGCGCGACGACTTGGCCAACTCGCGACTCGCCTTCGAGTTTCGCTCCCGGGAATTAAATTCGGAATTAATTTCCCCACCTCCCTATCGACGTGTATATACCACCGGTTACTTCGACATATATCCGGATATGTATATATATGCAGATACATCGAATGCAATCTCTCGACATTGACGAAAAAATGTCATTGAACCAAAGAAATATTTCTTTGAATAGTACCAAAGAAATACATTATTAATTCAACAAACGATTATTTCACTGAAATGAACTCGAATTAATTGGATGCGGCATTCCTTCAAAATTATTATAATTTACTTGAGTTTATTTGAATTAACAAGATATTTTTGTTGGTTCAATAAGTTTTTTTTTTTTTTCAGTACAGAAAGCAATCACGTATTTTTGGAGACTGAATAAAATTCTTAGGTTAGACGACGAAACGATGGAGGAAATTAGTCTGTTTAATTATTCTTACTCTGGTCAGGAAGGTTTAATAAATCGGTAAATAGGTTATTTAATAAGTGATACGATTAATAGATAAAAGAAAAGGTGAATTATTGAATAGAAGGTCGTTTCGTCTGAAAACGTACATGAACAGTAGAGTGCACTGTGGACAAAAATTAGGTGACCGAAACAAGTATGTCTCGTTGACATATATATTCCCGCCTGAATATCATACATAATTGCAAGAATCTATTATTCTGTTGAAAAGAAAAATATTGTCGATTTAAACGAGCTTTATCTACTGATTTCTGGGATGGGACGTGTTTGATCGCAGGATTCTGTTGTCGCGATGCATATTTCTTTGAGTCTTTCTTCCTCGGGGTTATTTTGCGTTCTTAGTGTCATCTGAATACCGGAAATTCTAAAGTCGATGCGATGCTCTTCAGGGGAAGGAAAAAATATTTTCAAAAGGGACGTTTATTTTCAGAGAATATCTGGGAGTTTCGGCCCCGTCCATTGTAGTGGCCGAATGGGCGGGGAGTTCAAAGGAGCGTTTCCATCGGCGATGGCCCTCCGCGTTCCCGGGTCGCGAACTTGGCTGACTTGTGGGCAGTCTTGTGGACTCGCCCCCCTAAGAACGGGGAATTAATATCGAACTTCGACGGGAGAAATCGCCTCGGGTTATGCTCCTCGCGAACCAATAGCGCCTCGATATAATGGCCCCTCTAAGTTCGGGGGAATGTTTGAAGGATTTCAATATTGACCGATCCCGGAGGGAAATAATGTACTCCGTTAATCGGAAGAGCCGACTGAATTTGAGGCAGAGGACACAAATCGCCTGTATTAAGGTTTCATGCAAAGTATTAAAGTCAGGATCGAGCCCATATAGGGACCAGGACTCGCAGGGATGCACAATTCCAACATGGACCATCGGGATGTAGAAGACAGAGGGATGACCCCTCGCAAAACCGGAAAATGAGAAATGTCGACGCAGGTGCAAGAGCAGAATTGGAAAGGCGATCGGAATACAAACAGACTGTTTAGGTATAACAGGACTTCTCGTCCGTTTCACTCGACGAGCTACGAGGTGGTCACCGCGTGTAAGGATCAGGACACACGTCCTGAAGTCTATTTGTATTTCTGTTTAAAAAACGAAATAAGTATGAGTATTCTCGAGTCTCGCCCTGCGCTTGCGCGAAGTCTATTTTGTAATTAATAACGAAGAGGGTATATTTAATAAAACATTTCTTATGAAAAGATTTGATCGACGGGGTTGTGCAAAAGCAAAATGGGTTTAGCGTGCAGAATGCAACGTCGGGAAATTTTTATTTTCTACACTATTAAAAAAAGGCATACTCTTTTAGTACATAAGGTTGCAGTGAAATTATACATTTGATGTCTTAACAATGAATTAGTATACATTTATTATAGAATTCTAAGTATCTTTACAATTTTATAACACCGTGTTGTAATTCTGCGAAATTGCGGAGAAAAATTATAAATCTGATATTCGAAAGTCATTTAGTACGCATTGTTTGCACATTTTTTAAATGAGTCTTTAATTTTACGATCGTTTACGTAAGTTTACTTTTAAACAAATTTAATCGGAAGATGACAAGTATCGGTGGTACTGGCGGAGAAGCATTGTAGCGAGATTCTTGAGTCCGAGAAATATTTAAATAATATTTAAAAAGATTCTTGCAATCAATAGGAAACTCCGGCAGCATCATGGACAACGTGCTACTTTTCCGTGAGTTTTGGGTTTGATACCACGATAATTGCAAAAAGATTTTCTTCGGTGTTTCAGGTAGGGCTGTGTCTAAAATCTTCCTCAAACGTGGCCGGAACAAATTAATAACATATGTTATAAATTTTCTTTGAAAATGTTATAAAATTACAATACTTTTCTTTAACAGGGTAATTAATAAAGAACGAAGCGGGTATATTCAATAAAATATCTGTCATCTTGGGTTTCGACGGGACGTCGTCCCGTCAGCGAACTTCCAACAAGGGACTCGGAGAGGTTTCCATAAAACTCCTGGATGAAGGGTCTAGGGGGTTGTGTAAGAGCAAGATGGGTCTAGCGATCAGAATGCAAACTGCCAAGTCGGATCTGGTCGGATCTTGGGCTTCCTGACCTGCCCCACACGTAGCGCGACGATCACCTCGTACGAAGCCCCGGACAAACTTTCGGCTTCGAGACGTCCGGAGACGGAAGTTATCCAAGGGGGAGCTGGAAGTGCTGGGATTTTCTGGCAGTTACTTCGGGACGCCCTCCGAGCCTCGGAGTCCTCCAGGAAAGCGGCGGAACGAGAAAAGGGATCGCGACGAGCCGGAGGTCGAACGGTAGTTCCGTGGAATTACGTCCCTGCCGAGTCTTCCCTTCGGGAATCGACTTCCGGGTGGCTTTGACGAGAACTTGGGACCGGGTTTGTGAATGACATTATCAGAAATCAAAACGAACGGAGCCCTGATTTTCAGATCAGGAGAGAACGCAAGCGACCCAAGAAGCGCCTCCACCCTGATGAGAATCGACTTAAGAGTTTCTGACAGAAAGTTCCTTAGAAAATTCTCACTCTCGAAACAGGCTTCATTTTTAAATTACAATTACCCATTAAGGTCTTGACCTATCCTACTGCAATTTATTTACCCCTTGCAATTGCGTCTTGGATTAATTAACAGAACCCAGCGTTGAAAGCTTACTGTTCTCCACTAATTCGCTGTCCAATTAGCCGAAATAATTCCTTAAAATTATTATACGTCAATTTTTAACACTAGGGTAGAAATTCTCGAGGGAATACGTTATTGCACCTGGATGGGGAAACAGAGGGCTCTCCGGTCAGCGTCCAGGACCTGAAGAGGGTCGCGATTCGCACGCGCCCGCCATAATCTCCGGACGAGAACTCATAGCATAACCGCGTCTGGTGGAGGTCTAAGTGGATCCAGGAAATCCGCTGTCCAAGTTCTAACCAATTTATGAATGCGGCAGCGTGACACGACATTGCACTATGTGCCGGTGACCGTTTCGGCTCCGGAGAACTTTCCTTCGGCGACGCCGACGAATCCTGGGAGTCCGATCCCGAAACTCCAGGACGAAGTTGCGCCTCGACTTGACGCCGACTCCGAATAAGAAGGAAACGAGATCGGCACTCCGGATACCGGACGCCGGATGAGGACGAATCTCTGGGAACTACGTGGACAGGGACCCGAAGGAACCACCCGAGGGACGTCCAGGACGTATCGGGATCCTGACGGCCGAGCGTTCCGCTACTTCGTCCTGGTCATTTTCCGAAACTAACGCCGAAGTCGAATAAGTCTCCATCCGGCGTAATGTCTGAAATTCTGGAACTGGCTGATTTATTTATCGGACCGCACTGGACGTTTCTAGGGAAGGAGGAAGCGTAATAAAATAACATTCGGAGATAAGGCGGGGTTATTTTTCGGAGGTCCTTCGGAGTTCGGGACGAGGTCGAGGTGAAGGCGCCCTTCCGAGCTCGTTCTAAAACTGACGCGAACGTCAGATAAGCCGCCATCCGGCGCAAACTCTCGGCAATGTTTCATCTTGGAGATTCACCAGACTTCGGGGACAGCTCGACTAGTTTCCCGAAACCTCGCCGCCTCGAAGCGCGAACTGCGATAATTCACTTATCAGATAATACGGGAACCCTCATAGAAGTGTCCCGGTGAACCCGGAAGTTTACCAGACCCTTATACGTCCAAATTTGCGAGAGCTGTATTTTTTCAGCCTCAAAGAGATCTCACTAAGTCGCTCTTCCCGAAGGACATCCCGAAGGAAAAAGGGTGGCAGGCAAGCAAGAATCAAGAGCGCCTCTAAACTCGTCACTAGTACCTAATCTCATGACTTTAGTTGTTAAAATGTAGTTATGACATCCGACGAACTTACTATTTTTATTATATATATATATATGTGAATCCTTAAAGTTACCCTGCGCTCCCCATATATATCAACACGTCCAAATTCGCAGATCTGTATTTCTTTCAGCCCCTCCCTGGGAAGATCCTTCGCTCCTCCCGAAGGAAAAGGGGGTGCGTAGAGGGAAGCCCGTTTCACGCGATTTCCTGCAGGACGAAGGGTCAAAAAAAGGAGAAAGGCACGATATCCCGTCGTAGAAGCAGTTAGGACCCGGTTCAGGGTATCCTGGATCCGAAGTCGAGCAAGGATCCTCTCCGGGAAGCCGGTCACGATCCTGCGCATCGTCCCCCCTCGCAAGGACTCTCCTTGGTCGCTCGCGAGCCTGGACGAGCTTCGGACGAAATTCGGAATTTCCAAAGTTCCCGGGCATAATGTGGAAACGGGGGTCCTGCGGGAGGATAAGGGGTCGAAGTAAATGAAGTTTGCGGCCGACGCCAATCCCGATTCCCCGATCTCGATCCCGACGAGAGTTCGTTAGGGGACGGCAAGGACGAGGACGAGTAACGAGAGTCTCTCGCGATTGCCGGTGTTCTACGTAAAACCGAAGGATTACCTCCGAGTCAATTTTAAGAGCCAGAAATAAAAACAGCAGGACCCCCGGCACGTAAACCCGCTGCGGTTTCCGAAGTTTCGGCCAACTCGTTCACCGAACTGGAGGACTTTGCTTAAAAATGCGGACTGATCCTGCCAGGACGCTTCGTCCTGATCGGAGTGCGGTTTTCCTAACTGCAGCCACTCGAAAACTTTCGGGCCACTTTCCGCTACATCTCCTGATAGCACACAACTCACTACGTGAACGTTGCCATACCTGTGTACACGAAAGGACATCGTGAAAAATAGTATAAACATTAGATGATAAAATATCTCGAAGAAAGTAGGGGAAATCTCGCCAGGTAATGTGTATAAATATGACGAAATAATGTGGAGGAAAAATGATTAATAAATTAATTAGTAATTATGCCGAGTCTGCACGTCGTCCTGTACGTGTAATTTATTTTTCCGGTAATGAGGGAGGAAACGTACATGCCACGTGGAGAGTCCTGGTCTCCTCGAGGACGCCTCCAGGAAACCTCGGGTTCTCGGCTCTGCAAACGAGCTCCTTGCCGTCGTCGTCCCTGCCAAGGACCAGAAGCACTTTGCTCAGCGTGGAGTTGCTCCTCTGGGTGGTGGATATTCCCGGCTCCCTCAGGACCTCGCCTCCCAGTCTCCAGACTATCCTGGCGGCAGGTGAGCTGCCCCAGGTCTCGCACCTGGCGGTCACGGGGCGACCCTCGTAGATCTGCTCGTCGCTCAGGACGATCTTCACCACTGCTGGTTTGACTGAAAGGACCATTCAAACTAATTAAGAAAAATATCCCAAACTATTCGAGAATTAAGAAATATGCTCAAAAATAATCGAAAATTAAGAAAAATCTCCAGAAATATGAACAAATATCCGAAATATCCAAAACTTCAGTTGATCCTTGTAAAAGGAAAATTCAGAGTCGAAGTCCTTCCTGCCCCACACCGATCGCAAGAAACTAACACCACGAGGTTACACGCCTCGGTTACAATGCAGCATAATAATGCAAAATAATCAACGATGTTAAATCCAGTCATAAACAATATGTTCATAAAACGTGAATATCAATACGTGATGCAAAATAATCATCGATGTTATCCCCAGTCGTAAAAAATATGTTCATAACACTTGATGCAAAATAATCATCGATGTTATCCCCAGTCGTAAAAAATATGTTCATAAAACGTGAATATTTCTGCAGGTTTTCTAGTAACGAGGGGAAATTTCCGATTTCTAGATGGGTTTTTCGAGCGGCGAAATAAACCTCCAGGAAGGGGCCGCGAAAGAGGACGCGGTCCAATAAATGGACAACCGGACATACTGGGATCTGACAAGTGACACTTTTCAGGCAGAGTGGCAGAAAGTAGGAAATTCGGAAAGACGAGTCTTGTCCCTGCCGGGCGGGAAACTCTTACTTAGCGAGATTGAACCCGCGAAATGGACGTCGTTCGATACCGGAAACCGCGCTCGCCCATTGTCGTGACTTTTCTTAAGCGGGGAATTAAATGTGGAGGGAGGAAGAAATAAAAAAAGGCGGATAAAAGTCCACGTTCTAGCCCAAGTGCCATCGACTAAAAGTGGTTACGCACGTAACGATAAATCATTACGATCCCTGGCCCATGCAGTTAAATCGAGTTCTTCATTGTCCTCGCCTCATCCTTATTGTTACATGACGCGAAAGACGTCGAGAAATTGAATCGATGTCGGTAAAAAAAATTCTAATCAGTGTATCGCTTGAAACTATCTCTAGAAATGCCATTTTGGATATTTGGGGATCTTTACAAGTAATAGACGCCTCACCATTTTCGCCCCCCCCCAGACCCTTATACGTCCAAATTTGCGAGAGCTGTATTTTTTCAGCCTCAAAGAGATCTCACTAAGTCGCTCTTCCCGAAGGACATCCCGAAGGAAAAAGGGTGGCAGGCAAGCAAGAATCAAGAGCGCCTCTAAACTCGTCACTAGTACCTAATCTCATGACTTTAGTTGTTAAAATGTAGTTATGACATCCGACGAACTTACTATTTTTATTATATATATATANTCCATATTTATCGCTCGCCTTAAGGGAATGTAAAACTGGCATCTGAGGGGTTAATCGTTTATAAAGCTTTTCTCCTAACTGGGTGTACCGAATCGTTTCAAATTTTACAAATTTCATTTTTTTTATATTTAATTTCAAAATTCTTTATAAACAGACGTTGAGAAAATTGCAATTTCATGGGGGTCGAAATTTTCCTTATAGCCTCTATGTTCAGATTATAAAGCTCGAAACGATTTGGTACACCCAGTTTGAAGAGAAAATTGATAAACGAGGCCTCTTTGACGCCATTATCCTATCACCTTAACGCGGGAGTTCCAGGAATCGAAAGCTCTCCGAGGAGACGAATGGAGGAAGAGTGGGAAGTAAAGGACGAGCTGGCAGGTGGATTTTCCATTGGTCTTGGCACAGGAATTAACCCGTCGAGGCTTGGTTCCCCGTGATCGAGTGGATTGGTTTAAGCCAGGTTTTAATCGAACGGAAATAATAGACATGGCCGGCGTGCGGTGCGAAGAAATAACGTCCCGACGCGAGCGTCGTCCTCGCATTAGGCAAATCGATTCCTGCGCTCCTGTCAACCCCCACAGGACTTCCAGGTCCTCTTCGAGATCGACTCGAAGCCGACGGGAGCCAGAATCGATAGGTCCGCGAGAATTGGATAACGGGGGCGTAATCTTCATAAAGGCGACGCGACGCCCCCAGGTGTGACACCTGTTCTCCCCAATAATCTCGAAGGACTCGATTGGACTCTTCCAAAAAGTGCTCCCTCCCCTTCAATTTCGACTAGTCCGACTTCCCGATGTACCTGGGGAGCAAATTTTCCCCTAATCGAATGTTTTCCCAGGGGATTTGCATCCCATCTCGGTTCATCTAGATGGCACACGCAATCAGTTATCAGTGCGAAGAAAGGGCATTCCAATCAAAAATGCAGCAATCGTCAAAAAGGCCTTTATTGTTCATTGACATTCTACGTCGTGCCGAAGAGTGACAACTGTTCTACTTACCTGTATATCGTGGCGAGGTAATAACATTTTATTAATCTTCGTTAATTGAATCAGAGAGTAACTTTGATCGAGCCATTACTCGGAAAATGGCGATTCTGCTATACGCTTGCGACATAACGCGACAAAAAGTCACCCCAGGGTCAAAAGGGTGATATATATTTTTACACCGACTAGTCTTGTGCTAAGCCGGGTCATGAGAAGAGTTCAGGTCCGTCCTTGATTATTTTTTCATAATCTTCATTAATCAAATCTGGGAATAACGTCGATCGAGCCTCAGTCGGAAAATTGCGAATCTGGCGGTCGAGAAGTTGCGCCCTCCGGGAATGGAAATTCGCCTTGCGACCCTCAGCAAGAAAAAAGTCGCGCCAGTGCCAAGGGCGTCATATGTATTTTTACATCAACTAGTCTTCTGCGAAGCCGGGTCATCAAAGGAGTGAGGTCCGCCCAGAAATTGCTGGAATTCGGCGAGTTTCCGGTGCTCCGCGCCATGCGGATCGCTGGAGTCGAGCTCCTATCTTTAGATTTCTTTATTCCCAGGCAAGGCCTTTTAGGGCGGGGGCGGACCGAGGTCGAGGGGACGATGACAGTTGTCAAATCCTTCCAAGCCGCAAAAAAAGGCGGACTCTGGGCTCAGAAAAGACGTCACCGCGAATTACTGGGCTCCCATCGGGAGGGGAAAAAAAGGGTTGCCGGAAGTAGGGCGGGGGTGGGCGGGAAAAGCGCCAGCCGGGCGGTCGGAAAATCGTAAGCACTCGGTCGGGCGAGAAAAGCTCAGGGAAGAAGGGAATCGCGTTTTGCCGCCATCTTTTCGGCGGGCTTTCAGAAAAATTGGAAATTTCCGAATCGTCCACCGCGAGTTGGAACAATCTCCGCGGATACGAGCCGCGCGTACGGTGCGTAAAAAGCACGTGTGAACGAAGTTGCGCAATCTTCGCCGAAGGAAAAAGGAAGTAGGTGGAGGAAAGAGGGAGAAAGAGGGAGAAAGACCTCGGTTGCTTTTAGCGACACCGCTCGTCCGGGCGCGAAAGGTCGAGCACATAAACAGCAACTAAAGTACTCAAGAAACTGAGTGGGAAACAGGGTAACAAAACGCCCGGCGAAAAACGGCGCTTTTCCCGAGTTTTCCGCTTTCCCGGTTTCCTCCCCCTCGCCTGGGGGGGGAACTTCCGAAAGTGCGGAAGATTCTCGGGACATTTGCAAGACCGGACATTCTGCGCCTTCGATTTCCTCCTTCGGCAAGTTAAGGAGCTACGAAAATGGAGGTACCTGGAAATTAAAGAGAAGAAAGAAAGTAGAAGAAGGGAAACCAGGAAATCCAGGAAAACCGCACTTTCCGAGTACAGTCTCGTCCTCTTCTGAAACCGAAGCTTTGCCAGCAATTTTTCCTCGAGTTAAAAAGAACCCGGGAAAGTACGTACCTAGAAATTAAAGAAAAAAAAAAAAAGAAAGAAAACGAAAAAGAATAAAAGAAAGGAAAACACGCATTTCCCTGCACTGCTTTCCTGCACCCCTTCATCCCCGTCCAGATCCGAAGCTCGATCAGCGACTCTTCCGCAAATCAAGAAGGACCCGAAAAAGTGAGTACCAACCTAGAAATCGAGGAAAGAAAATTGTAAAAAGAAGGAACCACCCTTCCCGGCTATTCCATCGTGTCCAGTCGGGTCCGGAACCGAAGCTTTATCAGCGCCAAGAAGTTTCGGAAATTTTGAAAGACCGGAACCATCGATCTCCCTCTCCGGAGTTCTTCCTCCTCGGAGCCAAAGAGGACGTAAAAGAGTGGGTATCCCGATACGGAGGTGACGTCTTACGGGGATGGAAGAAGTCTTTCCGGATCAGCCCCCCGTCCGGGGGTAAAGAAAGCGATTCCCACCCCGAGGAGGGGTGATTCGGAGAAAATTCGGGGGAAAACTCGGTTAGGCGACTCCGAGTCGTGGCTCAAACCGGCGAGTAGCCGCGACGGGGGGTGGAAAAGCCTCCCCCGGTTTTCCGGGGGGAATATTCGAGGAGCCAGAGGAGCTCCTCGTATTTTTCCTCATCGTCTTTTCCCCCGCCGCGGTGCCAAGGTCTCGTACCAATCTAGCCGGGGCGAGTACTCGCGAAACTAATGGAACTCCCGGAGCCGTCGCGCAATAAAGTTTATTTTCGCGATTTCGTGCCAGCGTTCGGCTAGAATGAGGGAGAGAGAGTAAGAGGGAGGACGGCAAGATGGCGGGTGAGAGGGGGGAGGGAAGGAGGCACAGAGCCGGAGAAAGAGAGCGAAATAAAACCCGATGAGTCTCGGTACCGAGATTACGCCTCGTAAAAACTGCGTGAGGGACGACCCCGGCTCTGTCTCCCTTTTTCCGCTTTTATGAAGACGACCGGCTCCGCTCGCAGGACCAAGGACCTTCCCGAAGCCGAGCCCTTAGCACGCGATAGGAGGACTCGACGGCTCTCCAGGAAATAATTAGGATCATTTCGCATAATTTCGTTCCGAGTTCCCTCACTGGTCGCGGCGCTATCGCGACTTTCCCTTGTTTCTTTTCATAAATCCATTCTCGCAGATCCTGACAACGAGCTGAATCCTGACGTCGCGGGTAACTTTTTGCTCAACCAATAGACATAGTCATGAAAGATCCGAAAATTGGTACAGAAATTGCATCAAATAAATTGACGACACCGAGGAGGTCGACCTGTATCTCGATAACGCATGTGCAACGATATTCAAAATAAATATCGTTTTGAAGTAAATGTATCATGCATCGAATAAAATGAAATTCAGGTACTCGTAAAATTGATATAGAAAAAGTATCGCCCAATTTAATGGCCCCGATGAGAATTACATACATCCCAACACCGCGTGTACAATTGTTTTCCAAGTAAATATCGCTTTGAAGTAAAAGCGTCATGCACCGAATTAACGTAAAGTTCAGGTACTCATAAAATGGATGAAGAAAGAGATGTTAAGAAATGTATGAATTTAAATATCTCAATGTCATGGCGCTGTGATTCGGGATGTATCTCATCTTGAAGAACGGGTGAACCGGCATCGAGAAATCCGCTCCCTCGTTTCATCTCAAATAAATATCAGAGTCGGGTACTCAAAACTCAAAAATTGATGAAATAAATGAACATGTCATTCTAACTTGCAGATAAATTCCACTTACGGTAGACGTCCAGTGGGACTTCCCTGACGATGACTCGTCCCTTGAGTCCAGCCTGGGCCCTGCACTCGAGTTTGGTGCCCCACAGTGACCTGGTAACCTTGTCCACGAAGAGGTGGTTGACCGTGAACTTATTGGACGACCCGGCGACGATGGAGGAGTCGACAACTCCGTCCAAGAGTTCGCCATCCTTCCACCAGGTCACCGTCGGTCTGGGTCTTCCTGCAAAGGCCGAAGAAGACGCTGAAGCGCCGAGAAGAGAAGGTCCCGAATCGCGCACCGGCCACCACGAATTCGCTGTTTAATTAGCCAACGAAGCCCCCGGGTGGGAAGCTCTTTGACCCAGGACCAATTACGAGGCCGATCGATTTTCCAGGACGGAGGGAGCCCGAGTCGCTCGTTAGCTGTTTGCAGTTTGCGCGATCGAGCGAATTTCACTCGCGGGGGTCGTTCCTCGCGCCAAAGGTAATGGAGGAAAGGCTCTACGGGCCGACCGAGGGAAATCGGCCGAGGGGGACCTTGAGAATTAAGGGGAATTAAAATAACCCCGGACAAGAGAAGGCACTCCTCCGCCCTGGGAAAAAAAAGCAAGAATTAGACAAAGACGTATTTTTGGAAACGGTACCAAAGAGAATATAATGTTATCTCGAAGAATCATTATATTTCGCTGAAATAAATTCCAAGGCAATTCCGAAGGAACGTCCCATCCGATTTATTGGACTTTATCTCAGTTGAATTATTCATTGAATTAACGAAAGAAATTTCATTGGTTCGATAGACATTTTTTTTTCTCGCTGCAGGAAACGATAAAAGAATTCGCAGAAAGCGAATTGGTCCTCATTTTTCAAAAGTCCGTCGACCGTCTTTTGGGTACGTCGAGGTCTTTCCACGTGGGAACCACCCCACGTTCGGGAGCGCCTAATAAAATGGCGCTCGCTCGAAAAGACGCCCGTCGTCGCGTCACCGCTCTTCCGTACGTGCGAAAATTTCGGCGGAAATTGCCGCGAGTGAAAAAGCCGTCCGGAAGACCGACGGAGCGGCCTCTCCCTCTCTACGTCCTGTCGACGAGGTCGAACGTAATTCCCATGCTAATCCGTCTTTGTCCTGCCGGCTGGTCGGGCGCAACTTCCCCGGTTAGCCGTCAATCCTGACGTGGTTATTTCCCATTGGCACGGGGCCCCACTTTGTCTCCAACGAGCTGACGAATGGCCGCGGAATTCGAGAGACCGGGAAACGAGCTGGCTCGCAAATTAGAGAGCAGCTTCGACGGCCCAATTCTTCGCGAGGTCACACTAATTCCGTTCTCCGCGGTTCTTTATGGTTTCCTATGGCCCTCCACGGTTCTCTGACATTGGGGCTTCCCACTTTCCTCTTCTTTCTAATTATTTCCCCCCATACCGAGTTTAAAATCGACCTCTTCAGGCTCCTATCGTGTCGACCGAATTCTTCGCGAGGTCGAACTAATTTCGTTCTCCATGGTTCTCCACGGTTTCCGTGACTATCCGCGGTTATTCATGGTTTCCTATGTCCTCTCGCGCTGGAGTTTCCCATTTCCCTCTCCTTTTCAATTATTTCCTTCCATACCGAGTTTAAAAGCGACCTCTTCATGCTCGTATCGTTTCGGAGCAGTCGACCTCCGACCCGGATAAAAGTTTTCCAGGGATATAGCCCCTTTCCATCGACCTACCGATCGACCCCGAGGGGTGCTTAAGGGAAAGGGAAATATTTTACGATCCACTCGATGGCACGGACTTACCACCGGACACTTGACAGGCCAAGAAGAGATCGTAACCCTCGAGGAAGGGACCTCCTACCCCGGTGACCTCCCTTCCCTGGGCGTCGTGGATCACCGGCCTGGTCGGGTCCTCTGAAAACAGTAAACGAGTCGACATTAATCCGAATTAACCCCAAACCCCCTCGATATAAACGGAAACGTGCTCTGGAGCCCGTGAAAAATCGACACGGTGTCTTCGTCAACACCCACCTATACTATTTTTCTACCTACCGACTAGGGTGAGGTTGACGCCGAAATTCCTCGTCGGCGAGTTGATAAAGTCCACTCGACATCGGAACATGCCCTGGTCGGAGAAACTAACGTTGTTCACTTTCAGCCTGGAACGATGACCATCCGCCACTTGGAAGTACGACCTACGGCCCAGGTCGTCGCTTATGGTCCAGTGCATGGCGTTCTTCAGCTCGCCGCCCCTTGCGTCCAGGCTGCAAAGATCGAAATTAATTGGTTTACATTTTCTTTTATCCATATTTTTCTACCGAAATCTGGTTACAAGACGAAATCGCGTCGATCGAGTCTCCCTTTCGATGAGCCGAAATTCCAATAATCGTTTCATCCTTCCAGGAATCGAGAGCCCGCGTATTCCCACGCGTCGTAATGAGAATCGAGCCTCCGGTTAACTAATCTATTTCTTTCTCTCCGTATCGTTTCGGCGAATCCCGTTGACAAGGCGAGGTCGCATCGATCGAGGCCTCCCTTTCAAGGAGCCGAAATCCCAATCATCGTTTCATCGTTCCATGAATCGAGGAGGGCGTCATCCCCTGCGTATTCCCATGCGCCGTAAACAAGATCGAATTGCCGGTTAACTAATCTATATTCCTTCTCCATATCGTTCCAGCGAATCCTACTGACTCGAAGTCGCATCAATCGACATCTCCCTTTCGACGAGCCGAAATTCCAATAATCGTTTCATCCTTCCAGGAATCGAGAGCCCGCGTATTCCCACGCGTCGTAAAGAGAATCGAGCCTCCGGTTAACTAATCTATTTCTTTCTCTCCGGATCGTTTCGGCGAATCCCGTTGACAAGGCGAGGTCGCATCGATCGAGGCCTCCCTTTCAAGGAGCCGAAATCCCAATCATCGTTTTATCGTTCCAGGAATCGAGGAGGGCGTCATCCCCTGCGTATTCGCATCCGTCGTAAACAAGATCGAGTTGCCAGTTGGCGCGATCTCGGCGAGCAATCCCCACGCCCCCGCGATCTATTCGCGGAAGGAAAAGAGTATCGTTGGCAGGCGTGCCCGTGGCGAATTTAGATTTCCCCTCCTCATCTCGAGTACCCAGTCGCCGGTGCATTCGCGGCTGGTCGCGTGACTCGCGTTGGGTTATGCAATAAGGTCGCAACGCAGCCGGTAGAGTGCAGCGTGGGGTGCACGCGCGAGTACGCCCGGGCCTCGCAATCATTTTTATTGCGCCTTAAAGCAGTCTAGCCAAGTCACTCTTGGCTCGATATAAATTTAAATTATACACGCCACCCCCTGGAGAGAGGACGTTAAGGGAGGAAATTGCAGCGAGGGTGGCTCGCGGGTCAGAAGAACCGCTGCATAAGCGCAGCGGGCGAATAATCGAATCCATAAAGTCGGTGCTGCACCCGCGACAAAACCCGGCCCCCTTGCGATTTCCACATCGACTCGCGATTAACGCAGATTTTCCAATTTTGAGTTCACCTCGGGACTCCTCGACCATTTCCCATTAGCCCGGGAAAAATTGCAAACTCAGCGAAATCTCAATAATTCCAAAGTCTGGGATCTTTGGTCTCGAGGGGAAGGAAATGGACCTTTAAGGTGGTTTGAAAGGGTCTATGTATAAGTTGCATCAATATTTTGACGTTTTGATATATGTAGAATGGACCTTTAATGTGGTATGAAAGGGTCTATGTATAAGTTGCATCAATATTTTGTCGTTTTGATATATGTAGAATGGACCTTTCGTCAGGGTCGCGTAAGTACATCATTATTTTTTCAACAATATAACGCTTTTTTCGAATTTTTTTTCCGTACTCTCTCGTTCTACCGTTATGTTTACAACTTCATTGACAAAATGTCGAAACACTTTTGGCACGTCTCGTCCAAAGTGACGTTCTGGCGTGGGGACCCCCAGGGAAAGGGTTAGGTGAGTGCAACGAATGCAATAATAGCGGCATGCTTCCATGTCCTCACCTAAGGATCAAGGGAACGGCACTAACGCAATCGGGATCTACTCAACGTATTGTCATTCGGTATGCATGACGAGTTGCACATCCGTATGTAGCGTGCGCCTCCACCGCGGGAGACCTTCACTCGACGCGGATTTAATACTCGATGTGCGGATCAAGTGACAGCATGTAAACCGAGTGGGCAACTCGGTCATCGCCTCGAGTGCGGCCAACCCTTACCTTGAGGAAATGACAGAAAACCCATCGAAGTGAAAAACTGAAAAATAAAATTAAAAAAAAGAAACACATGACTCGTGAGCACCTAAGAATTATTCTGATAGGTTCAAAATTTGGATGGTCGAAAAAAAGTTAATATCAGCCTTATCGGCGGATTGTAAACTTTTTGATAAAAGGGTCTCATTTGAATCGACTGGTTTGGGGGGAGGCATTTACTTATACTACTGTGACATAATGGGAGAGAGTTTCGGTTCGATGATAATATATATCGGGATGAGGATGGCTTTTCGTCCCGTTTCCTCGAAGCCACGAAAACGGGCAGTCGTTTCCCCTCGATTGGACTGCCTTCGGTCGGGAGATTTTCGTTTCCTAATCAGAGTCCTCGCCCGATAAAAGCGGTCTCTCCTCGAGTGGTCGGCGAATTCGAGGCGAAGAAAGGTGCTCGAAAGATGAAAGCTCGGTCCCCCGTTTAGGTTTCTTCATTTCCCGAGTTCCTCCCCTCCGTCCGCCCATGAGGCGAGAATCGTTTTCATAAATAAACGTCCAGGCGGTCGGGAAGCGTTTATTTTCCTGAATCGAGCCGCGTGGGCGGGGGTGGAAATATTTTCGTAACACCGAGCCCTCTGTTCCCTCTCGCTGATTCCCAGTTTCGACCGGTATCGAACCCGTGGGAAAAAGATACAAATTTTACAGGAAATTCCCCTCTCTCTCCATTCGGCTCTCCCGAGCTCTTAACAAAAGATTCCATCGAGCCATAGAAATATTTCTACGAATAGTACCAAAGAAATATTTAGTTAATCGAAGAAGAAATTATTTGACTCAGATGAACTCGAATGAATTGGATGCAAAGTTTCTTCGGAATGATGACGATTTATTTTTTGAATTGCCTAAATATATCTTTGCTACCGTTCAAAGTAATACTCCTTCGCCCGACGAATCTTTTTTCCTCGGAGGAGGAACTTCTTACTCGGAGCTTTTCCTCCATTTCCTTCGCATTCCGGCAAAATTTCCAACGAATTCTCCCTTCCGGTCAATTAGAGCCCCTCCTAAATATCGGCGGTCGCGATTTGCAACTCCCCGGAATTGCAACTTCTCCGATTTGCTCGAAGTCCCTGTTCTTCATGCGCGTCTCGGCGGAGCGAACCGCTCATTAAATCCGCAAGTGCGCGGCCGCTCCGGGGAAGGAGCGTTACTTTCCGATGGGCCGACGGGCCGTAAAATTCCCGAGGGGATCCCGGGGGATTAGAGGAATCGAACGGCCACGAGAGGCGGTTGGTGCCGATAAATTTAGCGAGTTTATCACCGCACGTGAGGAGGAACCTCCTAGGAGGACCCCGCGTCGGAATCCGCGCCGGAAACGCGTCGCTTCTCCTCGTTTCCTCTCCGTCGTTACAGCCGAATGAATTTTCGCTCGCCGGTGGTTCTTTCGCCACGACCAACGAGATCGTCGCGCCTTTGGAAACCCAAGCCGGCGTTTTGCCACTTTGAAAGGGAATATCCTTCCGCCGAATGGGCGCCTTCACCCTGAATAACCGCAAAACGACCGACTGCCTCGCGAATTTCGGCCCGAGACTGTCAGGGATCGAAAACGACCCAATGAAAAGTCAACCACGATCCGAGGTTTACCGCATCCGCAGTAGGTCCTCGGACAGGCCGTTAAGAACGATATCTGTCGCGGCCATTTTTATTTATCTTTTCTCGTACTTTGACTCGTTATTCCCAGGCAGATCCGAATTGCTTCGTTCCTTCAGAATTTGAGTTACCCACTTGCAACTTAATAATTGATTACTAGCAGCTTTTTGCGTCCAATAAAATGTCAATGGCGATCCGAGGTCAGCCGAATTGGCCCTAAAGGACGATACCGGTCGCCGCCATTTCTTATTAATTTTTTCCTCACCCTATAACGCATTATTTTCAGCCAGACACGAATCACTTCGTTCCGTCAGGATCCAACTCGCCCCTCTGTAATTGATTAATTAATTAACTAGGGGCTTTGTGTGCCCGATAAAAAATCAATCGCGATCCGAAGTCCGCCGCATCCACAAAGGGTTTTTTAACAAGGCATGAAAAACAACAAAACAACCGTTGCCGCCCTATTTCCTCCATTTTCCAATAATTGTTAGATCCATACCACCATATAATCGCTCCGTTCCATCACAATTCAATTTACTCAATTACAATTCATTAATTAATTAATCATCGGTTTCGTGTATACAATAAAAAAAAAATCAACCGCGGTCCGCGAAGTTCCAACACCCTGAAACAAAAACGCCATTGAACCCAAAAAATATTTTATTAATTCGGAAAATAATTATTTGCCTACACTAAACTCGAGAAAAATTGGATACAACGTTTCTTCAGAATTTTGACAATTTATGTGAATTCATTTGAGCCAAATAATTATTCTTCGAATTAACCAATAATTTCTTCAGTTCAACGAATTTCTTATTTCGGTACAACGAACCATAAAGGACGACACCGGTCGTTATCTGTTTTTCTCCATTAATTAATGCTTGCAATTGTACCGCCATACATATTTCTCCGTTTCGTCAGAACTCAATCCATTCGTTTGCGATTCACTAATTAATCAGCCTGCGGCCTTGTATTTGTAAAATAATACGTAAAACAATCTCTGATAATGGGAAGAACGGCGGAAATTCCAGGAATGTCGGCAATGCCGGAATGGATCGGGTCGATTCTGCGTTTCCCGATGTAGCTTTTGTTTAGTGCTCATCAGGTCCAAAGCGAAACATTAAGGAGCACTCTTGCACCTCCGGATCCGGAATCGAGAGCAAAGTTCCCGAGAGGCACGTCGGGGGTAAAGTAAACGCTTTCCTTCTTTGAATACGTCGGCGTTCGTGCGTTCCTAACGAGTCGTTTATTTGCGTGCGTTGCGTTTCGTCAACGAATGGGACCGCTTTTCCTCTTTTCCCTGTGGCCCATTCACCGGCGCGAAGCTTGCACGCGTTTCATTTATCGCTTAACGAGTTCCCCCCGTCGTGATCTTGGCGCGGACTCTACAGTAACCGGCGCTTTCATAAACCGGGAAAACGAAATCCTTCGAGCGAAACCCGCGCTTGGCTCGCCTCCACGTTTCAGCGCCATCGAATTTCCCGAAGGGGAAAAAAGGCAGGAAAAAGGGGGAAATTACCGGCGAGTGGTTAAAGCGAGTCCAGACCTCTTACGTTCGCAAGCTTTTCATTTCATTATGGACCCGACCCAATTCAAGTGGATGCTGGGCCCTTAAGGTGAAGTGAAACCACCCTCAAATCAACCGATTCGAATAGACGCTTTTTTGAAACTCGAATTTAAATGAAATTAAGGGAAAAAAGTGTCTAATACGCTTCTATGCTAAAATGAGGGTAACACGAGTTCTTGCAGAAGAAATTTAGTTGGCACTGAAATCACAGATGGCGCAGGGGGTCACTCTGCAGTCAGTTAGAGCATCAAATAACACGAATCCAGGGGATTTCTGAAGTTTTACTTCGATTTCTTTATAATTATTGGACGGAAACGACGTATGGTGTATGTGAGAATTTAGATAATTTTATTATGAGAGTGAGAATTTAGTAGAATACTCGATATAATTCGACACAACTGTCGATATGAATGGTAATGTCGAGAACATAGGTTTTTGGAAGAATCTTTTTTAACGACGTCGATCAAATGTCTCGACGTGTTTCACTTCACCTTAATTGAACCCTTGAGAAGGCTTCAAAAAGATAATTTAGCACGAGATCGCGCTTCTTAAAAGAGAAGCCCCCTCAAAAATGGACCGCCGTCATTAGGGGCTTCTCGAAACCTAAGAGAGACTTCTCGACGTCCCTAATAATTCTCGAAAGATCCCCCGCGGTTATTTCGAGGTTTCTCGGATTTCCTTGTGTCGAGCCCTTGGTGCACCCACCTTGTCGCGAATTAGTACCACCCTCCTTAATTAAAGAAGTAGCCTTGAAAAATGTCGCCTGGTGATTATAGGATTCTTGAAACTCTCGCAATGACTCTCCGGCATTTTTAATGATTCCTCAGAGGTCCTATTACAAGATCTCACAGTATCTGGGCCTTGAAAAAATACTTCCAATGAAAGTTACTGCACTGAGAAAAAAAAAAGTCCATTGTACCAGAGAAATATCTCTTTGAATAGTACCAATGAAAAATGTTAATGCAAAGAATAATTATTTCACTGAAATAAATCGAATGCTACGTTTCTTCGGAATTATGACAATTTATATATAAATATATTTCTGGGCACTATTTAAAGAAGTATTTCTTTAGCTCAATGAATTCTCTATCTCAGGGTACTAGTTTATCAGGAAAATTACAGGTAGGTCATATTTTAATATCTCCTCATTTCGAACGGCGAATTATTACCTGCCGCCATTATATAGGAAAAAATGAGTCTGCGAAAGTTATTACTAACTAATGACGGCTAATAAGGCTGGAATATCGTTCCTGGATATTTCCTCGTTAGCAGCCATCCCAGAGCCCGGTGATAACGATTCCCCGAAATTCCCGGCATAATGCTAAGCGATTGGTTTCCCGAACGGCTCGTATTTTGCAGTCTCAGCTGCAATGCGTGGTCGGCCTGATTTATTCATCCCAATTCGAAAAATCGACCGATGGCACTGATGACATTTCGGCACGACAATCTGCACGCCGCCGTTATAAAAATCCCGGATCGCCGATAGAAGTCAATTTGCGGCGATTAATATCGCCTGCCAGGCACGGATTCGCCGCGGCGTGTTATTTCATATTCGGCGGGTTTTCGCGAAGCACTCTTTACGGAATTACTGAATTAACTTACAGGAGGTCCATCATGGAAAGCCATGGCCGAGTTCGTCCCTAGGCTGCGGAAATCATTCCGCTGAAATATTGATCAGCCCTAATTGACTGCATTACGATAAATTGATGAACGCGACCGCGCGGCGATTTCCAGCCGGAAATTCGGAAATTCGAAAACGTAACCGCCGGTAGGGACTTTTAATCGGCTCCATTATTAATCCTATTCCGGCGGGCTGAAATTCAACATTCGGTCCCTTATTGACTACGAGATCAATAACTCCAATGACGGTACGAAATAATCGAGGAGGAGATGTTTCTCGATCATTGATTTTTTCCGTGGATTAAAAATCTTACTAATATTTCTTGGACTTTTGGGACCGAGAGGCTATTCTCTTGGAGATCAGTGCTAACGATTTCCTTCTATGAAAACCGATTGCTTTTGATTTCATATGATAAGCCAAAATGCAGTTCGATAACAAGTGACATTCGGCCTTAAAATTGAGACAACCTTGGTGATTTCGAGGAATAGAATTGAATGAACATTCGTTTCGAATTATTTGGGGGAGTTCGAAAATATGGGCGAAATTTGGAAAACGACGGACCGGGAAACAGCGGAGCCTCATGAGAGCCCATTTACGAGAGAGGTCCTGAAATGTCACACCATCGGAGTCTTTATCGGGCTCCTTTCATCCAGAGAGGTATAAGGAGAACCATTACGGATAAAGTGTGGGAGACGCGGTATGGGAAAAAGTGTTAGGCGAAATCCCGTAAAATATGAGGAGCTTAGTGCTACAAAGTATGGCTAAGGATCATATCTCGTATTTTTGAGGCCATGTTTCCCAGCCTCTAAACTGGACACGGTCCAATTCGAATGAAGCATGTTTCAAAATAGTTTGAAAAAACTAGGAAAAGAAGAAAGGGGCACGTAGCCTTCGTATTCGGCAACTTTCGGAAGCGAATCCCGCGCCATTCAAGGCCATTTTTCCGGTGCGGAAAAGTAAGCCCGTCCGCAAAGATCGAAAAATTTGATAAACCGGATGTTTCGCAAAGTCCTCGAGAACTGGAAAAAAATCGAGAGGGGAAATATTCCGTCATATTTCACGCGGTACGCGGTCCGGCCGCGGCGTAAAGCCTGCGGAAAGCTCGCAGAGTGGTGACCACTGGAATATTACCGATACAAACTTTTTCCATTTGATAACACTCACAATGCATTTCCGTTATCGGAGACGTGTCGAAAATGTGAAAAAAAAAAGAAGAAACGAAAAAAAATGGAAAGAAAAAGTGAACAGGAAATCCGGCCGCGGCGAGTCGGATAAGACTCGTCGGTGATATCGGCAGGCGTGATAAAATGGTTTTCGCTATGGAAGGTGAACCGCGCGATTCTATATTTATCGATGACGAGGAAAAGTGGCCGAGCAGGGAGTAATTGTCGGCGACAACTTCTCACATGTATCCAGTTTCCAAAGACAACCGGGACGCACGGCAAACGCCCGAGGACCATTACACCCCGGGTGGGCCAAGCTTGGATTTCTGGGTGCCAAGATAAGATGGATATTATGACAGCAGATCAAAGAGAGAGTCCGAGCACCGAATGCGACTCGCCAGCCTTGTTACGTCAAGGGACATCGTAAAGCCTCGGACTTTAAGGGGACGACTCTCGATTGCGATGGAAACTCGTGACTTTTTGCGAGAATCTATGAATAGATCTCTATTGAAAGAAAAAAAAAAGATAATGCCTTTCCTCCGAACGTAATTCCCTGTGGAGGCAGAAAGACGTCAAAGAGAGAGACAAGTAGGTATCATATCATCCCTCGTGATAAGAGCTACCATTTTTTTTCTGCATCTCTATCCGTCCTTTCTTCTCGACTATCCCTTTATTCTTTATTTCCCCTTTTCATTCCTATCCTCGTATATAATGATCGGTATCGTCACACTTATTTCCGCGTTCTGGACCGCATCATCTATTCCTTATCATCCTTCACGATAAGGGCTACAGTTCTCGGCATGCCGGGACAAGACGACCATTCCAATGAAGAACCAGAGGAGACAGGTGACACGAATCTCGAATTCGGGATGCTGATCTAGTCCCGGTACTTCGAGGCACGTCGAGCTCCTCGGATTAAGCCCGTGTTGCAATAATTCCAGCGCAAGAAGATCGTGGCGTAACCAACGCCGAGACACGTGGCGCTCCTTAATTATTAACCCGAGATCTTGCCTTCGTTCGAGCTCTCGTTATAGTCATAATCCCCGTGACGGGGCCTCACAAGCCACGTAAAAATAGCGCCGACATCGTTAAGCGTCACGTCCGCCGTTGAAATTTTTCTTTAATGTCACGCCTCGCCGCGGCGAGCCTCGTTTTCGCGGCAAGGGAGAAAATCCTAGGAAAATCTCGGAAAAATCTAGGAAAACATTTGAAAGAATTCCCACGCCGGGCGATAAACGCTCGATCCCCTGAAAAAACTGCCCAGGAATAATTAATTATCACCATTCTCTCCCCAAATTCCCAAAGTGGTTTAAAGAGCGCTTACGCCCCGTTTCCCGGATTTTCCGTTTATTTCTCCACTTTTATTTCCGTTTCGTATTAAGGCACGACTTATGGACCGGAACCAACCCCAGGTTGGCTTCCCAGGAAAGAAAGGAGATTTAAGCGAGAACGGAATTAGAATTCGCCGAGGTCGAGAAATATTCGGCCCGCCGAGGCTTGACACTAAACGGCGAGGCGCGAATTTGGGCGTTTACCCTCTAGCCGTGTACATTTCGAGAAACGTCACCTGTAAAGCGGAATTCCGGCGGAATCCTTGAACCAAAGCACCATGCTGACGGAGTCGTTGGGCGTCGGAGGCGTCACGTCGCATGGCAGCTCGACGTCGTCGCCCTCCGCGGCCCAGACGAGCTTGACCGGAACAGCTGTGAAGAAACGATTTCATTTCATTACTCACATGAAAATCTCGTATTCCCTAAAATTATACCCTAATAGATAACAAAATGGCAGATATTAAGGTGACATGAAAGTCGCGTCAAAGGGGTTTCGTTCGTAAAACTCATCTCCGAACAGTTTATCTAATCGTTTCCAGCTGTACAATGTGAATATGAAGGCTATAAGGAAAGTCCTGACACCCATGAAGTTTCAATTTGTTTTTGTTTAATTTTTATCATCATTTTATCATTTTTTAAATTTTTTACCGACGTCGATCAAATTCCTCGACGTGTTTCACTTCACCTTAAGGGGCCCTTTCGAAAGCCCGAAGCCCTTAGAAAAAATGGAGCAAAAATGGACCTCGTCAAGCGTCGACGCCGTGGCTTCCTCCGGGACTATCGGGGAAACAAATGGCGCCGGAGATTATTCGGGCCCGAAGTGATACCGGAGGTAATCTCACCCCGCCGTCAACCCGTTCGAGATGGATCGAAAACATTCGATGGCTCTCCGATCGACAGGCAAGCCAGGGAAAAAGCCGGAGATTCGCCCGACGAACTGGAGTTACTCGGCCCATGAAGCGTATCCAGGGTGCGGAAAATCTCCGCCCCGGAGGCAAAGTCGAGGCCCGCGACATAGAGCCAGGGTAGACCGGGGGTTGAGGGAAGAAAAAGGGGAGGAAAAAAAAGGGAGCACCTCGAAACGAGGAGTTCCCTTTTTTTTCCTGCCTGGCTCACGCATTTTACGTCACTCCCCTCGACTTGGCGACACCTGGGAACAACCCTCTCATCAGCTCCTTAACCGCCTCGTTAAGGGTGGCGAAACATTGCGACGTAACGAAGGCGTCTCCAAGTAAACCAGCTCCCAGGGGTGGGCCGAGGTTGCCTCGAACCCTGGGACACGTAGGACCCCTAGATCCTCGCAAAATAAGGTTCAGGACGAATTTCCTCGGCGCTAAAATACCGACACTTGTTAGGATAAATCGTTAGGATCAATAGTTGCAATAAATCGTTGCGACAATACTACACATACCGGTTCGTACAGTTTCAACTAACGAGTGGGCGCTATGGAAGAACTCGACTTAGTTTCGCGGGGTACAAACCGTCCCGACTTATCGTTATTTGTACGGGAACCTGGAAAAGTCCTTGCGAAATAAATGACAGAGTAAAAAGACTGAATAATGTTATTATTGATAATATAAAGCTCACCAATCGTTATTCGGTGGGCAGGTCTTTGGGACTAAACCTCGGGGAGGACCTCGGGAAACGGCAAGGAAGGGGTACCCGATCGTCCCGAACTTTCTCCGTGCGGAAATGAAGAGATAGCGGAAGCGCGTCTTCGGCTCGATGCTAACGACATCGTAGCGGGAGAGACTCCGTCTGACGCAACGATAACAGCGTATACAAGGACCTGCGGGAGCGGATGCGTAACGAGGAATCGATATCAGTCGAAATCCTCGGGGCGAGCCTCGCGGCGCGGGGCCGGGCGACGAGGGAGGACTTTGCGGTAACTTCCCTCATCAAGGAGTAAAACTTTCCGAACCTCTGAAAGGACTCATTACCTTTCCCTGTCTGGTTCGAGGACCGGAGTCCTGACTCTCGACCCCCTCAGGGGGGCGAAGACCGGGGCCTCGTCACTCCGAAACCGCGGATGGAGAATGTTCCACTGTAACGCAAAAAAAAAATAAGATGGATGAACGAAAAGATCGACTCCTATCTTCGAAGATTCTCGAATTTGAATCGAAAGAGAGGGTTGAATTTTTGGTGCGCAGTCAGGGGGGTGTTTGTAACGCGATGCAAATCGCGCACAATCGGGGGGCGGAATTTGTCGAGTCCTTGAAAGGACTCATTTCCTTTCCCTGTATGATTCTCTAGACCGACTCAAAGGTGCGAAGCAGGGGGACGAAGACTAAACTGAAACTGAATTTTTTGTACACAATCAGGGGTGGAGATTCCACGGCCATAACGATGCGTCCTGGGGGAGCAAATAGCTCTAAATCGATGGACTAATTACGTCCAGGGTGAAAATAAATTAGGACCTCTTTCTTCCGGATACGGAGTCCCTCTACTGTTAGAAGGCGAGAAGGATGAACGCCCCGAATGTCAATTCAGCAGGACCTTTGCGAGATACCATCCCCAAGGAATCCTCCCTCCAGGGGTTGGGGTCGCTTCCGTTTAACGCATCCCGCTGCGTTCGGGAACCCCTTTCGGGACCTTTGAAGGATCCGCGCTCGATGCTCAAAGAAAGCAGCCTCGCACCCACTCGTCTTCCTCTTACTGAATGAGAGGGGCTTAACCGGCGCTCCGTACGGCACCCCCGCCTAAGGGTGGCGTCGTTTCGGCATGAAAATCCGCCCTTTCAGGACGATATCCCGCGAGTCTGGCTGCCCGTTCAAATAATTATGCCCGCAGAAGGAGAAAGACGAGACGCGGTTCGAATACGTGAAAAGGAGGTAGAAGTCGTTTTCGGTCGCCGGCAAGGGGTAGGTCTTCCTGGCCGAGAGGTCTCCTCGCACCCCTCGACGACGTCGCGCTTCAAAGGAGACGTCCTCCAAAGGCACGAGTCCTCGAGTCCTCTTCGTTTCGCCGTTTATCGGGCTCTTTTCCGGTCGCCTCTTCGCCAGCAAAGCGCCGGATGTTCCCTTGCGATCGGCCTCCACCCCACGAGGACCCACCCCCGATCCACCCTGATAATCCGTAAATCATACATCGTTTTCTATGATTTTTGTTTTTCAATCCCGGGAGAGGCTCCATCCTATGGAGTTCCTAATTTCTCCTCTTTAAATAAAATACCATTTTGTAGGATTCCTGTTTCTTCCCTCCACCTCGCGAAAACTCATCTCTGATTTCCCCTAATTAATTCGTTCCTTAACTCGTTCGTCATTTTGAATAATTCCCGATTTTGTCCCACACTCTACAGCCACATTCAACGTTCTCTAATTAATTCTCTTTAACTCGTACGTCGCTTTGTATCATTTCACAATTTATAAAAATGCTTCGGGACGGCGTTAGATAAGAGGGTTAGGCGCTCTTCGGCCTCGTCGTATTTTAGGATGTACACGGCCAGGGCGAGGGAATTATTAACAACTTGGCTAGGAGGGACTCCCTCGAAGAGCAGGACTCTCGAGAAAATCTCTGCCTAATCTCCCAGCTTCTAGGATCTGCATTCGGGAGATACGCAGTTACGTGCACGTAATGCGCCCCTAAGTAGCACGCAAGTTACAGGGGTGCAAGTGGCTGCAGTTACGAACTGCTTCTGCCTATCCCTCCACTTCCGGTGCACCCCTTGGATTACCCGAAGATATCTCCCAATGTGTCCTTTCTTTCTCCTTCGAATGAACACAAATTCCCGATGCAAAATGCCATTGGAAAAAAGTTTATGAATTCAACCCACGCCTGCCCTAGAATTCACAGGAATTCTTGATACAAAGGGTCGTAAGAAGAAATCTAAAAATTCAAACCGCGCGTTGCTGCAAATTAACAGAAATTTCCCGATGCAAGGGACAGCACAGAAAAATCGAGAAATTAAAGTCGCCCGTTTCGAGTCTCCATTTTCATCTTCGTCTTCGGTTCGAACACCGCGACACTCGCGGAAGTTCCCTCCGCGGGATGGAATCACAATGCAAACTTCTCACCGGAAGTTCCCCGGGCAAACTTCCCATGGCCGCCGTGTGAGTGCGCCATATTACGGGGTGGCACGCACCCCCATCGCCCGGATGGCGTTCGTGCTCACCTCGTCGGTTGGTTAGCGGTATAATTAATAAATGGAACTGCACGCTCCGATGGAAACCAAGAACTTCCACCCTTCGCGGAATAATAATTTTCTTCTCCCTATTCGCGGCCGATCCCGATTGAAAAGCGGATTCTTTTACATTCCCCCTCATAAATGACCATCGAAAATAAAGATATCCTGAATTTCTCAAATTCTTAGCCCGGGCGCGTCGCGACGCCCGTTCTAACAATCCACCTCCTGTCACGCAATAATTATCGAAATCCAATATTTCTTACATTCTCCCCTGTTAATAATCCTTTGAGAAAGAATATTTCGATTTTACGAGGGAAATTCCACCGCGGTGGGATGTAATTTTTATCGCCTTCCAATAATTAACTCCTATTCTCGGACAATCATATCAAAATCCACATTTTTACACATTTCGCCCTTTAACAACCTTCGAAAAGAAATATATCTTCTTTCACATCCAGGTGGGATTCTTTTCACCTTCCATAATTATCGTTTATCAATTATAAATCTCTTCTCGGACGATTATTATATAGACCCGATTTCTCTCGTACAACCTTTTTTACTCATTTTTCGAGAACATAGAATGTCCCGAATTTCTCGAATTTCCGGCCAGGGTGAGCCTCCCTCTTCCCGGGTATCGGCGCCGGCCGCTTTTCGGGCCTCGGACCTCGGAGCGTCGCGACGCTCGGCACAATAGGAAACATCCGTACCGGCGGTGGCGGCTCTCTCCCCGGCTACGTGTCGACGCAGCGGCGATGGAAATCCGGGGGTGCGACAAAAGGCGCGAACGCTCTATTTCATCCCGCTGAAAAGGGCTTACGTTTCCGCGTCCCGCGTCCGCGTGCCGTTGATTTTTCTCTTCAATGCTCTCCGCGCGCATTTAATCCCGCTCGAGCGACGATTTTCGTCCCTGTGTCCTCCCTCCGCACGCGCGACGCACGTCGGGCTCCATGCACTGTTCGACACCGATGAAACGCACCCCCCGCGAAGCTCCATCCTCGACCAATTCCGAAGGCCCGCAGCCATGGAATACCCCAATTCACCTCCAACTTATCTATACACATAAAAAAGGTCCCCAACGACTGACTAACTCATCACCGTCCAATCTAAACGGCTAAGCCTTCCCTGAAAAAACAATTTCACCCGAAGAAACACTTCTTTGAATAATACCAAAGAAATATTAGATTAATTCGGAAGAGTAATTATTTCACTCGAACTAGCTGGAATCAAATCGGATGCAACGTTTCTGCGG